CTTCCGAAGTTTCGCTGCCCTCCGAGTTGGTGGCAGTGCAGAAGAACGCCCCACTCTCGGACCGATCGACTGCGGCAATAAATAAAGTGCCTTCTTTAATTTTGGCGCGCCCCGTCGCCAGCAGATGTTGTATGGATTCCTCGTTATTTGGACGTTTCGTATGCCAGTTGAAAGTAATTTGCAGTGGATTATTAATACATAAATATGCAAGCGAAGTTTTTATTTATGCACATGAAAAGAAGTGGCTAAAAAGCATCTAAATGCATGTAGTACATTCCATGGCTCATAAGCTTCAATTCTTAATATTTGGCACACAAGTGCTACACGAGTTGGCAAACTTTGAAGATTTTCTCGTTTACGTTGCATTTAAGCAAACCACTTAGGCTAATGCGCAATTAAGTGGAAAAGCTATGCGACCCACTTCATTTTATGCAAAATCATTCACATAAGTCACTATCAAGTACTTACATACGTGCATTTGTACATATGTGCTTGCACAATGTATACTAGGGATGTTGCAAATGTGGAACTTTAGACTTCCGTGGATGCAAATGCGGATGTGAATATCTAACAGCTAACATCCGCGGATGCGTTTGCGACTGCGGATGTCAAGTATTTTTAAGAAACAATTACAATCTAGTATAATGGCGAGATCGTTGTTTAAACAGCGCTTACAAGCCAAACCAGATGTGTCAGGTTTTTCTAATGGTGATTTCGTTTCCACCAAATATGTCGCCTTTTCATTGCCCCTTTCTCTTTTTATATTCGATTCTAAAATAAAGGCAAATGGTGAGAAAATTTGGTGTTCGTTTCTTAAAATGTTACACTATTGTAAGGCAAAAATCACATTCCCTGCCCTGAGAAGGTTGGTCAGGGAAGATGGTTGCCCTGAAAATCACATGGTTGTTAAAAACGGCAATATTATGAAATGGGTGAGCTGCCAGCCGAATCGGATAAGAATATTGTTATTTTTAAAAAGCACACTGCTTTTTTATGAGATTTACGTAACTATCTCATATATCTTATATTATTAAAGACCATAGGTTTTTTAATTATTTGAGCATCGATTCTCTTTATAGCCAGACGTTGATCATTTCTGCTGGAAATCCCCATTGAAGGAGCTTACTCTTTGACTTTAAAGAGCAAAGAATGTAGAGTTTTACCACAGAAGTTTTTAGCCAAGGATCCATTGTATATCCCTATGAAAAAAATATTGCCCGACAAGTAAATAAAATTACTGTTTTTAAAATTTTTGCTAAAAATAAATTCCCCAATGAGCCCCATTTGAAATTATTGAAACGAATTTATGTAACATCAAAAGCAAATCGCGAAAATTTGGTTAAGAATTACAATACATACTTACTTATTTTTTGGCTAGTAGTGTTTTAAGATTGGTCCAAAAAAATCATATTAAAGGAAGAAACCAATGCAGGTATTTAAAGCGCAAAAAATAAATAAAAATTTGGTAAAAGGACTATGTTCACTTTGACGTACGTCAAAGTTCAAGTAGGAGTTGGAACTTGTATGACTGCCCATTGATAGCTCGGTTATATAACCTTTGAAATAATATGTTTAAAGACATTTTTATCAAAGTTGATAAATATGGGATTTGACCAGTTTTGTTACGCAAATACTCCAACGACCACAGGCAAAAATATTGTCTACAATTTGTCATTTTATTTGCCATATAGGCATACGTTTTATCGGTGCACTTGCACAACATTCGCATTAGCAAAAGCTCCGCATTGATTATTGCGAATGCGAATGTTATAATTAATGCGGAAACTCCGCGGTTGCGAATGTGAATATTCGCAACAACCCTGATGTATACTGCACATATGTATATCAGTATATAAATATCCAGCATTTAAAATTAAGAAACTTCCACAAGATAGCTGGTCATATATGGCCTAATGTGTGACGGTCAAAAACTGGCCTCTTATTGAAGCCTACGGATATCGTTGGATGTGGATTTTACCAGTCTTTGACTCAGTGGCATTGAAATTATGGAATAATTCCTAATATTTATGATATTGTGAGGCAGAATTGCTTTCGCTTAAAATTTTCCTGAGTAGGACTTTAAAAGCTAATTTTTCTACGAGAAAGGCATTTGCTACCGAAACTACAGCGCGAGGTTCGAACAGTATGCAATCATTATTATGCTGAAAAACTTTACCAAAGTCATACATATCGATAACCACAAATAAGTAGCGATTAATTGATTGTGGATTTGTTGGATGTTGCCATAACATAACATACAGCTTTTACTGACGACGCTGACGATATTTCTCCTTTAGTACATCGGGTCTCTGATCTGTCTAAAAAGGGGATGGCGCACGAAGAAGCTAAGATGGCAAGCCTGAGAATAAACTTTAGTCAGACCAAGCTTCTCAGTATGCCAGCGAAGTTTTGGGACGTCTTAGCCTCTGACCAAACTCTTAAGACAGTGAGAAATTGCACATACCTTGGCATTGAAGTTTCCCCAGCGGCGGCACTGATCAAGAAATTAACCGCCAAAGCGACCTTTGCGCGATACTCGTGCATGTGGAAAGTCACTACTACAATAACCAGACGTCTGCAAGTTTTCGTAAACACATGTCCTTGAACGACAATTCGAATTTTTTGGTCTAAAACAATCTAAAAAGGCTTAAAGCCTCTTTATCTGCATTCGAGGACAGAAATGGAAGTAGATGGAAGAAAGAAGATGGCGGTATTGCAAAGAAGGACTTGTAAATGAACTCCCTAATCGGCAAAGGTGAAAAAAAATAGTCGACCTAGAGGCGAAGTAACTCGGCTTAAGCTGGAATTAACTGAAAGCGAATGCCAGAAACATAACTATAGATGGTACGCAGGCGTAGTGGATGCGCTATTTACTGCGAGGTACTGAGGAAAGGCTGCAATCATAACCGATAACCACAAATTTCACCATGCGTCTTCTACTACTGCTCCCAGAGAAGCGGCAGCTATTAGATTTAAAGCCTACGCTACTCGACCTAAAAGAGAGTGCTGCCGGGAGTCGGAAAAGGTAGATACATGTAAAATTCGAAGTGAGAAAATCGAAACCGAATTTCGTGAGTGCGAAGCGCTCCAGACCCAGACTTATATGAAAAATGTCCGTAGAGGTGTTAGCTTAGGTTAGGTTAGCTTAGAGAAGGTTTAAATACCGGGCCGACTTCGCAACGGAAGGAAAGCGGCGAACTTACTTATAACTGATATTCAGTACACAGCAAATAAAACTGATATAGAGCTAAATATTAACGAGGCTTTTCTGCAAACTTGCTGAATGAAACCAGCAGTGGAAACCAAGAAGATCATGATGATCCGGATGAAAATATCTCACAAAGCTATAGGTCTAAACAAAAAGCTACTCCAAAATCAATCAAAAATAGTATTTGTCTCTCAAGACTTTCTCGTTCAGTCGGTTTTGCAGCACTCTCTCCTCCCTCTTCCCTTGTGCTTTCATATATTTCAGAGCCTGCTAGAGCTGAGCTCAATCATTTCGCTTCGTTTAAGAATTTGTGAAAGGGTACGTGCTAGAATGATTCCAACTAAATTGTATACATATGGTTCCTATGTGCATTGTTTCTCGTTTCAAGTGCTCACAGTTCGATTTACTGCTGGATTATTATGCAAATTTGTGTATGGACATTTATGCTCATTCCCGTTACGTTCACTGCGCTATTATAACCTTGTTTCGCGCTAACACATAGTTTAAG